ACCGTCACAAATGATGGACAACCAACGCACGTGTATTTTAGATACATCGCCGTAATCGTGTTTTCCATATTGTATGTCCAATCTCCATGTCTAAACAGGGTTTCATTGTTCAAAGTTAAATTTAGTGTTTCACCAATACGCAGGCCTTTGTGAGCCGTCCTCCTGGTGTAGCTCTCGGCACCTGAAATAGATGAGGCATGACGATAGAGTTCAAAATAACTATTTGAGTTAAGAGACAGCTGTGTCCTTACAATTGTTGCCTTACAGCTGTGTCCTCACGAATGTGTCCTTACAGCTGTTTCCTTACAGTTGTGGCCCCACAGCTGTGTCCTTACAGCTGTGTCCGTACAACTGTGACCTTACAGCGGTTTCATTATAGTTGTGTCCTTACAGTTGTGTCCTTACAGTTGTGTCCTTACAGTTGTGTCCTTACAGTTGTGTCCTTAAAGTTGTGTCCTTACAGTTGTGTCCTTTCAGTTGTGTCCTTACACTTGTGTCCTTTCACTTTTGTCCTTACAGTTGTGTCCTTACAGTTGTGTCCTTTCAGTTGTATCTTTATTAGAGTGGGGCTGCTGACCTAAAAATGAACAAACGAACATCACTAAAGTAACAAGGCGGCGCCCGCCTGTAACTCCTGATTCCCAACGTGGGTCAGGCTTTACTTTGGCCTGCAAACGATTTAATAACTAAAATAACGTCTACCCTTAGACTTGACAAGTGGTCTACACCGGAAGGATCACCGGGCGGGAGACAGACGTGATGGTCAAGGAAATGGCAAACGCTTTTTTCCCTCTTAATGCCTGATGGCAATGTATTCGTCATAGCCAACTTCTGTGCTGAAATTAAATAAATTAAGGATTCATATTCATGATTTTTCTCTTGAACTCGTCACGCCTGCAATGTGTTTAGAATAAACTGAAAGATTTTTGTATTAAGCAATACGTAGTCATTTCAGTCATTGCTTTCAGAGGATACACCTGGCTGTAATTTTTAAACAATTTCACATAACTTAAGTCTACCACCTTTAACTCATTTATCAAAACATTAGGAGGTAAATAGCAGAATGACCGAAGTAGTAGCCCTATATGGTCAGTACGAACTTTGTTCTCGGAACAAAACCCAACTCCAATAAATGAACAGTAAAGTATTGTCAGGTGGTGTCTCTCAGTAGATTTTTTTTACGACAGCCGTACAAGAAGGGCAATAAAGGGAGATCAACTAATTTCAACCGCCATGTGAGCTGTACATTCTTGCATCACATACCTGTGACACTTTGTTACTTGAACGATAAATAATGTTTTCAAATCCTTACGGTATGCGTGTCTGCTGCTTAGAAAATGGAAAGAGAAAAGGTACATGTAGCATCTCTGCCGTATAGAAATGCTAACACTAAAGGTACAGGTTGCATCTCTGCTGTACAGAAATGCTAACACCAAAGGTACATGTCACATCTCTGCCGTATAGAAATGCTAACACCAAAGGTACATGTTGCATCTCTGCCGTATAGAAATGCTAACACCAAAGGTTGCAGGTTGCATTTTAAGGTCCTAATTAAAACAAAAGAATTCCAGTATGCAAAAATCCTTTTATTTTTATAGAAAGAAAAAAATTAGTCGAACTTCTCATTATGAATAAGTGCAAAAAGATATTTTAACATCAAATTAAAGTCATTAGTTTCTAGCACAGCTTGAACCGACGGACGGCTGGATACGTCATTATGATTTCTTTTATTATTTTTTTTTTATAGAACCCGTAACAAAGAACAACTAAATAATGAAGTCTTATTAAGCTGTCAATCTCGAACGTTGAAAAATTCACAAATCTTGTTATCGACGTCTTAAAAATACTTACATTCTGGTAATAAAAGGCACGCCAAAAAAGCCACAACGACTCCATAGAACATCATTCTCTTGCTACTCCATAGAACATCATTCTCTTGCTCCTTTTTCTAAGTCCGGAAGTATTTAAACGTTTTATGTGCTAGGATTGGGTCATGAACCCGAATGACCTAATCTAAAGTCAGCGCGTCCTAATTAAAGCAGGTAAAATAGAACCATTCTTATATTTGAAATCAAGATGATCCCTTTACAATAACAAAATGTTTATGAAAAAAAAGATGAGTGGGGAAAAGAACTTATTTGAGAATTCTCAGAAAAAATATATTTATAGTTTAAAATTAATTTCGGGAAAAAAAGCTCCATTTAAATGGAAAAGTTACCCAAACATTGCAAGTAACATTTGGGTTTTCAGAACATAATAGTGACAGAACCGCTTTTGCTACATATTAGTGGACGTAAGTATTGCAGAGGTCATAGTTCAAACATTGTTTTGTCTGACGCATCGCCACGAGGGTACATTTGATTGGACGTGCGGCACGTGGCTTGGTCTTAGAAGATGGCTCTCCACACGTGGAATGTGGCTGGGGTTTTAATGGATATGAGCTGTCGACTTTAATTTAGGAACCTGTAACGTTTACAAAAAATGTCAGCAAGTGTATTTCAATAACAGTGTTATAAGTAGAGAGATTGAGAGGGAGGGAGAGAGAGCGATTGAGAGAGAGAAAGAAAGAGTGGTAGAGAGAGGAGAAAGCAAACAGACAGTGGAGAGGGTAAGGACAAATCGGGTTATAGAGATGTTTGAAAAAATAGAAAGAATAGAGAGAGAGAGAGAGAGAGAGAGAGAGAGAGAGAGAGAGAGAGCATTTAGAGCTATGAAACAAAGAGGAAAAAAAGGAGAGCGCATGTCGAGAAGAAGAGAACTGCTTCGAGAGCAGAGATAGCGAGAAAGTTGATAGAGAGATTTCAATAAACATTCAGTGTGGTTCAATAATGAGTTCACTAGCGCGCAAAATATAATTCCCCATAACTACGCTAAATGATATATATATTTTTTTTAAAGAACTCAATTTCGTTTGGTGAGTAATATTTTCGTTTCGGAAATGCAATCGTCGCAATTTTAGTGTTGTGTAAAAAAATATTCTGACATCATACGACTCTGACATCCTCTGACACTCTGCCTTTGCACTCAACACTGGCGATCACCAAATATATTTTTTTGTTCGTTGCTACTTCATAAATATCTGTTTTCCGATGGTCTTATGCAACCCCTGTATAAGGAGTTGCGACCCACAGGCTGAGAAACGCTGTATTAAAGGTTCTCATCTTTAGGAAGTTTGAGAACCACCGCCCTATAGTAATCAATGAAAGGCTTTAAAATTGTACAATGAAAATGATCCAGCAAAACTGTCTATGACATGGTATATTGTTATGTTTTGCAACTAATGTTTTTCAACCTGCATTCCATTGACGTACATTGACTAAGTGTCGGGTTAGTTTCGTGCAGTACCACCCACGGCGGAGTGCATTTTTATGTTGTTGTTTTTTCCACTTTACTTCTTCCAGTAGCCGGTAGTGTCGAGTATGAGCGTTCATTAGGAATTGTTGCGACTCAATATTATGTTCATTAGTTGTTGAACGCTTTTCCCGCGCTTGACTATTATAGTTAGTGAACGCTCTTCCCGCCATTGTAATTATGACGTATTTTTATGCTGTGTCGTGACGTATTGTCTATGCCGTGTTGTGACGTATGTTTTAGTCGTGCTGGCAGTCTTGAGTGGAACCTTGGAGTGATAGGATGTTTATTATATTTACTTAGATATTAAAGTTATAGTTATTATGAAAAGGAGTTGAGTTTGTTAATTGATAGTGAGAAAAGTACGGCGCTTCAACGTATGAAAGAACTGACGAATGTAATCAATCCAAGAAGACGTGTAGGAGTTGACAGGTAGTAACATGCGTTACAAGCTGGGGAATAGCGCAAAATGCTTTGATCGAGCTGAAAACTATTAAAACTTTTTTTAACGGTAAACTAAGAGATTTGCTTGTTAGGACCATAAGTAAATCTCCCCGATATTAATCATTTGATATGATCACTGAACAGCCGAAGCGAAGGTTAATATGCGAAGTTTAATCTGATTGAAATTTTTGTAGTTTATTCGCAAAGCTAAATGCATCGATGAAACACGCTATCTCACAGACGCCGCGCAGCAGTTTAGAGTATCCGCGAAGCAATTTAGAGTATACGCGAAGCAGTTTAGAGTATCCGCGAAGCAGTTTAGAGAATCCGCGCAGCAGTTTAGAGTATCTGCGCAGCAGTTTAGAGTATCCGCGCAGCAGTTTAGAGTATCCACGAAGCAGTTTAGAGTATCCGCGCAGCAGTTTAGAGTATCTGCGCAGCAGTTTAGAGTATCCGCGCAGCAGTTTAGAGTATCCGCGCAGCAAATTTTAATGTAAGTTTGTGTTTGTGGGCTGTAAAATTTTGCACACAAAAAAATTTGATGCTGTAAAACTTTGCACACAACTTTATGATTTTGCACATGAACCAGCAAACCTTGGAGGGAGCATTGGTGCCAACCTATATTTTATATAAATAAAACATGAAGTCTCAAATATTTAAAATTCCTATGTTTTTAAAAAAATATAAATATCCAAAGTAAGCATCAGTATGTACTAATGGTTCCCAATCATCAATTGTTGTTTAAACAAACAACACTTCTAGATCACCATATAATTTCTTTAAGTACGGTACCAATCAATCCAGCGTCTGCCCTGATGGAGAACTTTGAAGTTTGCAAGCTTACATTGTTTGAATGCCGGGAAATGTTCGTGCCTGTGGACATGCTGACCTGAATCAAGTGTTCAAGTTGTTTGTGCTGCAGATTTTAGTGTTCGCTCCAAGTTTGGATGAACGGCAACTTTTGCAAAAATTCAACAGTTATGAGCGCTATAGCATCAACAACAGCAAACAAACAAACAAACAAACAAAAACAAACAAACAAACAACTAATCCAAACGTTTATTGTAAAAGTCCAAGCAATAAACGTTGTTGGGGGGGGGGGGGGGCAGTCATTTTCATTTGATAATCAGTGATTAATATTTTATTATTAATAAGATGAACATTTTATTTAAGAAAAAAGCATTTAGTGAATAAAGAATCTTTTACTCATACACTGGTATACATAATACAATTTTAAAATAACCTTTAAATAAATACTTTTATATTAAATGCAATTCCCCCCCCCCAACCAAACAATTTAAAACAAAATATATATTATCAAGGTAAGCTTTATATAATTGCTTTGCTTTTCCTTAACTATTCTTTGCAATCAAAAATTTTATTTTATTATTTCAATTGGAAGAGCTGATGTGTGCTGGGAATCTTGCAAAAATAGCAATATAAATTCTTAATTTATTTTATCTGTAAAGCATATAGATCATAAAAGCTAAACATTTTCAGCTTATTAGAAACAAGATAGCTTTGCTTAAGTATATCCGCTTATTAAGAACTCTATTAAAGTGTTTCTCTAAAAATGTACAATTTTTATCAATATGATCTTAATGCTATATAATTATTATTAATAATAATAATAATAAAGTTTATTTCAAAAATACGCTTCATCCCCAAAGGCTCGAAGCGCGGTACAAAGTCAACAAAAAACAAATCTATAATTTACCACATTTTAAAACAAACGCAACACTACAAAAACTAATTACCAGCATACAATGTCAAAGTCTTTCTCGCCATTTCAACCCCAAGCAACACAGCCGATATGCATTAACTGGAAAATAAGGTAGATAATCATCCCAGAAGGTGTTTGCGAAATAGATGTGTCTTTAAATCGGTTTTAAAGGACTCCAGTGTCTGGTTGTTTCTGAGATCGACAGGTAAATTCAATATAGTCTTAATGCCTTATAGATAAATAAATATCACCCGGTAATTCAATATGATCTTTATGTCATATAAAAAATACCCGGTTACTCAATACTGACATATGAAGGTGTCAAGTCATCCCAAAGTCTCACTTTATTTTTGGCAAGTTACTCAAAAATGGACACATGTAAATTAATATAAAACAAGTAATGATCAGCTAAGGTTTTAAATATACATATTTATACAATATACAAAATATAAATATATAATTTACAGTTAATGTAACGGTAATAGGAAATCTGATCCAGCAGAGGAGTTAAATAATAATTGTTTTTGTTCTATACATAAAATTTTGAGACCAGATAATTATCTAATCATCATTTATATAAAAGCTGCGCACATTTTAAAAAACTAACAAAACAAAATGTTTACAAAAAAATGAGGACTGATTTGAAGAAAAAAACTTATTCCCATGATTCTTGTTTGCAGGCATGTTTACCTCGGCCATTTGTATCATACAGCTTTACCTCGGCCATTTGTATCATACAGCTTTACGTCGGCCATTTGTATCATACAGCTTTACCTCGGACATTTGTATCATACAGCTTTACCTCGGACATTTACACATTTGTATCATACAGCTTTACCTCGGCCATTTGTATCAAAAAGCTTTACCTCGGACATTTACACATTTGTATCATACAGCTTTACGTCGGCCATTTGTATCATACAGCTTTACCTCGGACATTTGTATCATACAGCTTTACCTCGGACATTTGTATCAAAAAGCTTTACCAAATGACTGAACAGCAGAAAGCAAATACATTTTAAACAAATAATACATTTTTTTTTTAAATTTAGAGAAAAATGAAGACTGTCTGTGACAATCACAAATTATTGAAGTTATGTTTTTATCATTTCGATATACAAATCATACTCAAAAGTATCGTATTTTCCAAATAATGACATGCCAACGATTTGTAATGTTTTTTTTTTAAATAAGCCCAACACTAGAAATGATCAGATATCTGGGGATAGGATCTTTATGAGAAAAAAAAAAACATCGAAAGTTAATGGGTTGGTTTTTGTTAGCAAAAAAAAAATGTACAATAAATGTAATGTCAATTGCGAATTTGATTTCGTTTCGGAAACAACACAGCAACAAATTCATGATTTTAATGGGGGATCAGCAAGCTTTTATTCACCAGTGCTAATGCTTCAGTAAAACAGTCTTTTTTTTTTTAAAATTCCTCAATTAATATTTTATCTTTCCCTTTAAGTTGCTCTTATCTGCTGTTAAATAAGATGTGTGATGCTTAATAAATAATATTATATCCTTCCTTGGCAGATAAATAATTTGTTTCATTAATTGATGTAAGAGTAACCTGTGTTTAACACAGTATAAAATAACCATAGATTGGCTGGACTTGCTGAATCATTTGATCGTATCATTTTATAGCATTATTATGTCAGTGTTTCGCTTTTGTATTTATTCTTTTTGTGAATTCTTTAAATTTAAACACTCTTTACTCTAATGGGTGACCTGCACCCTCCATCATCGATTACATTTGAAAGCTAATATCAATGTTTGGGCACATTGAGAAAACTAGGGAAAATGCCCATGAACCTGACTTCAGCCTGCACAATTGGCTGGGGAATGTGTTGTTTTTTTTTAGAGCAAGAGTTTTTGTTGTTTTTTGTGGTCAATCCAATCATGGTCAACAATAAAATAAAACTGTTTAAAAACAAGTAAGTGGATCTAGCCCTGAGTTAAAAAGTTAATATCGAAAGTAAAAAGGCACAATGTAATTTATAGGACCCCTGCAGATGGGACATGTATTTTTAAGCTCGGTCGCACAGAGTTCACAAGATACCAAATGCCCACAAGGCAAGAAGATGGCTGCCACTTCATTGACCAGGCATATTTTACATTGGAACTGATGCCGTGTCTGTGCGTTCCGCGGCTGCCGTGAACTGATTGCTGCTGTGGGTAAAACAAAGTTAAAGAAATACAGTTCCTGTTCAGCACAATTTAATATTAATTATTATTTTTTCATGGTGAACTGAGAAATACCTAAGTAGTTTAGGGCTTACTTTCAGTTCTACATTTTATCAGTACAGAACTCCTCTCTGCCTAAATAATATTTAAAAAATGATTAAAATTTGGGTAGTTTATGAGATATCAACATTTTAGTATGTTTAGTACTTGATCTTTAATGATGTGGACTACACTTATTCAGTGAAGAAAATAAGATTAAAATAAGATTTAAAAAATACGCAACAAAGTCAATTATAATAATGATAATGATAATCCGCAAACAGCCACAATGCCACAAAACACGTTAATTAGTTATTACATAAACGAATCATGTTGGCTTTTTGAAAAAAAAATAGTATTATTATTTATTAAGAACCCTAAAATACCAAACAAAAAAACACACTTTTTTTTTAATAAAAAAAAATCCACAATGCTTTTTATATAATTATTATCATTTTTAAAAATTAGCAAATGAATTATGCTCAAACTGAAATCAGTTCTAATCACATTTGTATCATAAACTTTTGTGGAATGAAAAAAATCTTTTTTTTTTCCTTTAAAAAAACCGGATTACACATAATCGTAATGTTAGTTGTCAGCTCCACACAGTGCAAGGTTTGTTTTAGTCGTCTCTTTAAGTGTTCTACTCATATATGTCAGTGTTTTATCTATTCAGAGCTCGAGATGCATCTGACCCTCAAAATGTTGTTGCTAAATTATAAAATAAAAAAAATATCGAGCAATGAGAGGAAGGCCAAAGAATACAAGGAGACACGCCAAAGTATGGGATACACCTGGAAGTCACTGGAAATGAAAGCACGGGACCATGATGAATGGAAAATTCTTGTGAACGGCCTATGTCCCAGACGGGTTCAAAACGCATAAGAAGGGAAGAAGAATGGGGGGGTTGGGACTGAAAATTTGACAAAACATGCATTCTAGCAACACACCCTGTAAGAGTCACAAGTAGTGCCTTCTCCAAGGCTTGCAAATCACAATTTTTTTCCGACGCCCCTGAATTACATTAATATTCTTATGACCTGTCGCTTTTGCACAGCAGATTTATTTCACCAACTATTTCAACAAAAGAAAATATTACGCATCAAATGTACTTGTATTTTTTTATTTTTTTTTAAATCTCATTTTGTGCAGTTATCTGGAATTTTATTTTGTGAAGTCAGTGTCATCATATTTCCTTTATTTTTCCCTTGAAAAACAGGAAAAACGGATTTTTGCGAAGTTAACATCAAGGATTTAAAAGGCAGCCCTATCCAATGAATGATGCAGGATGACCATCAAGTTGAGGGACTCTATTATTTCAAGACGCATGGACAAAGAACGTTTTTTAACGAAAGTTAGTTTGCGTAGCGTTAAGGTTATGATATTCCAGGGACAGTATAAATTATTACGATAAATAATTCATTCCGACGTGCAGGATTCTTTAGAGGGGAGACAGACATAAAACAAAGGTGCTTACCCCACTCTCGCGTAGATAGAGTTGTGTCTATTCCAATTGTGTTTCTTTGCGATGATATTTTCTCTAACAGAGATTTTGCAGAAAAGGGTCCTCCTCAAATGAATAGAATATAAAATAAACAGGATTGTTTTGTATCATTTCGGTTTTATGTGAAACATATTATAAAATGTAAACGTGACATGACATTCAATATCGACTCCAGTCAAAAGTAGCAAAAAAAAAAAAAAGCTCAACATCATCATAATAAGAGTTCTTGCGTTTGAAATTTTTTTTTAAAAAAAACGTAATTGAAAAGAGTTGAAATATTGTGAAATCAATTTCTAATTCTCGCTTGTTACTCCAATAATGATCTTAACTCTCCTTGGACACCATTCTGTAACATTTAAAACAATTGTTTTTATTGTCTTCACTTAAACCCTGCACATAACATTTAATGAGTCTTGCTTTTTTTAAAAAATAAATGTTTATATACCAATAGTTTGTATGTAATTAACATGACTTATAATAAGATTATATTATATGCATTTTTATATTGAAAGCCTTGGACCAGAATAAAATGGAATCAATCACACAAAATTGTCTGTAAAAAAACAAAAAAACAAATTCAAGTATGTGCCTGAATGCATCACTGCATTTTTAAATTGCCCGAGGGTCTTCGACGCCCTCAAATTATGTACTCCTTTATGCTCACGCTGATCAGTGTCACAGTATGGGGTTAAACTAAGGGTTTGCCGAATGAATACTCTCGGGCGCGCCAAAACTTGAATTCATTCCAGTTTAAACTGAATTCATTTCGTTTATGTATGACGCTGGGTGCTGTTATGCCTCCTCCGAAAGTTTAAAAAAATTCCTCTCCCATCAATAGCAACACTGATTTCAAGTATACACGAAATTGCACCACTTGATTTTTGTAATGATCACGAATTTTCTGGGGAGGTGACTCCATAGACCCTACTTCTTCTCTCCCTTTCACAATATATTTCTGCAGTTATAAAAAATTGCCGCCTCTTATTATGATTAAAAATTGACACATGGGAGGGCCACCCCATTCGCCCCACTTTCTACGGTCCTGGCAGAGGTGTAGCTAGAGTGTTTGGCACCAGGGGACAATATTCATTTATTAACCCCCCCCCCATTCACCCCCCAATTCTAAAATCCAATTTGTGTCCATTTAATACCCCCGAAGCCCATTTAGGTGCCCACGCTAGTATGAGATCTTACCATTGGAACTGCCCGCCCCCCCCCAGGCCATTGTCTGAAAGAAACACTGCCCAGGAGCTTGGGCCCTTACTGGCTTAGACCAGCTCACAGTAGTTTAATGTGACCGCGTCAAAGGCTAAAATGACCACACGCAAAAAAAAACAAACAAACAAACTCAACACATGAATAATAGCAGAAGTCATCCAACGTGTGTCCATACCTTCCATCTTCAGCGATTGGGCGATCTCCAGGACATGTTCCATCGGGTATCCCAATTCTCTAACAGCTCTAACAGCTGGATCCTCTCGAAGCCGATCACCTTTTTAAAGTGGGTTGTTTATGGTTTTTTTGGTGGTTTTTTTGGTGACGAGATATAATTTGAATAACTAAAGAGTTTTATAAGTTTTAAAACAAATTTTACCTCCATATGTAATAGCCTATGGCCTATACTTATGGTAATTTCACTTCTGGAACAAGTATTTTTTTCCACCCTTTCTTAGAAGGAAAAGGAAAAACAATAATAAGGTTTTAATATTATATAACGGTTTTTGTCTTATATTTGTGATGTAGCATAGTAAAAATACCAGGCCTTGTGGATTTCGTCCTCCGAAGCCCACACCATCGTCACATAGTGACGGACGGATGCCAGCAAGCTTAGTAAAAAAAATATTTTACTTCATCACATATTATTACTTTTACTGTCAAAGTGCAAATATTAAATGTTAAATTCCTCGATTTCTCAAAATTTCGCACAAAAAACAGCAACAACAACAACTCACAGAGATTCAATGGCGAAGACTCTCTGCGCACCTCACGGCTGAGAAACACAGAAATGATTTCCTAATGACAGAAACACAAATATTTCAAAATACGGATAATAGTTTCAACAATTATATTGTGTTCAGTTTAAAGAAATATTTAGCAAAAATGACCCAACATTTCATCCTAATGCCTAGGATAGAAAGTAACATTAAACAACACCCTAAAAAATGTTTTTCGTATTTATCCTTGATATGCATTTTTGTACGACTTAGTGGTGGCTACTGTTCTTAAGAAATCTTCACATCACATTTACTACATCTTCCCATTGCAGAACAGTACAAACTAATTTTTGGGGGATTTGGAATGGGGATAAAAATTTAAAAGAATGCGTTGTCATCGGCGAAGAGTCTACGTGGCGATTTTCAGTTCTAGAGTCTATGTGCCTATTTTCAGTTCTAGAGTCTATGTGCCGATTTTCAGTTCTAGAGTCTATGTGCCAATTTTCATTTCTAGAGTCTATGTGCCAATTTTCATTTCTAGAGTCTATGTGCCAATTTTCAGTTCTTGAGTCTATGTGCCGATTTTCAGTTCTAGAGTCTATATGCCGATTTTCCCTTCTTTATAGGCCACCGAAAACCGAGTGACCCTCTCTCCTCTGTCCATGGTTGTATTTCATGAGGAAAATTATTGTTTAAATAGAACTTCAAGCCGGAACAACTGGATTTCTTTTTGTAGCCGACCAGAGGCGTAGCGAGGCTGTTTGGCGCCCGGGAACGAGATTCGCGCCCGGGGACAAGATCGATTTTAAAGCGCCCCTTTTTCTTTTTTACAACTCTCAAACCCATTATTTTCATCAATAAAATAATTTCAAAGCACATTTTGGAGCCCCTAACTAGCTGGCGCCCGGGGACATCTGTCCCCCTGCCTCCCCCCCCCGCTACGCCTCTGTAGCCGACACTCAAGTGGTAGTTTACCCTTTTACACACTTTATTTCAAGGTTCCACCAAAAAGACATCAAAAAGTGTGTCAAAAATCATACAATGAGAATGCAATAATTGAACCCCTTTTCGAAAGAGCCGTTTATCATTAACCAACCAATGCATTTTTAAAATTATAATTAACAAAACAGTGAAATTTTAAAATTATAATTTTCCAACCAAAGAAATTATAATTTAAAACAACGTTATGAGGAAAAGTTAACTCTTGTAACAACAAAGGGAAAGAATCCGACACATGCAAACGCATGGCGCAGAGCACATGAATTGACCCAAATAATTTATTCAATTAGATCAGCGTTTCCCAAACTTTTCAGTTTCACGGACCATTGGAAAAGTTTCGAAACTGCACCAGGGACCGGTGCCAGATTTATTCATTACATTTTCTTTCTATTTAAACATCAATATTCATGCTCTCTGGACCGGTAACGTAAGGCTTGCGGACCGTTGCCGGTCCACGGACCACCGTTGCCGGTCCACGGACCACCGTTGCCGGTCCAAGGACCACCGTTTGGGGAACGCTGCATTAGATGGTTTTCAGTTTAATTTCTGACCTGTTCTGGGTGGGCGTGGCATTGGATGTGTCAAGTCTCAATACAACTACACACGGCCATTTTAGACAAGTGTGTTTCATCTTCAATGTTTCAATCATTTCTCAAAAACTATTTAACCTACATTAAACATAAATACACATAATTGTGCAAAATTGAATACCCTTGACTTGTTTGATCTCAATGGTTACTGTTAAATCAAATAAACAAGACTGTTAAATCGAAAATCGATTTTTTTGTTCACTTTAAAAAATTAAATTATTTACGTGATCATTGCGTCTTGCAAGACTTTGCACAGTGTCAACAAAGCATTGACTCATTTGTAGCCGAAGACGAGGGCATCCGGGGCACCGCAGTGCATGCTCTATTTGTACACTGTCTTCAGTCTGTAACCCTTTCAGTTTGCAACCACATAGGAAACAGACAATGCAATCATGTTGACCTTGTCCATTAAAAAAAAATATTAATTAATATCTCATTATTTCTTGTTTTACTACCGCGTGCCATACATTTGTTAGGCTAAGCTTAAAAAATAAACCAAGATTCATTTTTAAACGCTGGGATGCAAGTATGAAGAACTGAAATATTATTTTTTTTTACATTTAAAAATACAAGTAAAATCGTTAAGCCCATCACCAACAGGCAAAGCATGTTCAACAAGAAAAGTATTCCTGGTTTAAAAAAAAAAATAATTAAAAACGTCGTCTGCTTTTAGCCTTATATTTGTGAGGACATATTTATTATTAGTTTAATTAATTTTTTTTAAATATTGTAATTGAAACTAGAGTTAAGATAAACGTATAGGTGTTCTCACCAGTGTAGAAAAATCCAGAACTCGACAAATGATCTGGACTCATAACCTCTGCCGATGGCCACCTGGAGTATGTTGATCTTCGGTGTTCATTCAGTGTGTACTGTTCATGACGCGGCATGGTCATTTTTATGATCAGCTGACTTGCATCATCCGGAAGCAAGGTGTCTAGATGTGCAACACACTGTGACCTGGTTCCTGCACCTGTTAGTGTACTGCCAGGGGCGGGTAGTGGACCCGAGGAAGGGTATCTTGGAGCTGTTGCTGCACCACTACCAGGTGAAGCTGTTGCTGCGCCACTGGCAGTTGAGAGTGTTGTTACACATGTAGCAGGTGAGGCTTTTGTTACAACCCTGGCATGTGAAGCTGTTGGTACGCCACTGGCAGGTGAAGCTATAGGTACACCAGTGGCAGGTGAAGCTACTGGCACACCACTGGCAGATGAAGCTTTTGTTACGCCACTGGCAGTTGAAAGTGTTGTTACACATGTAGCAGGTGAGACTTTTGTTACAACCCTGACAGCTGAAGCTATTGGTACACCAATGGAAGGTGAAGCAATTGGTACACCGCTGTCAGGTGAAGCTATTGGAACACCACTGGCAGTTGAAGCTATTGGAACACCACTGGCAGGTGAAGCTATTGGAACACCACTGGCAGTTGAAGCTATTGGAACACCACTGGCATGTGAAGCTATTGGAACACAACTGGCAGTTGAAGCTACTGGTACACCACTGGCAGGTGAAGCTACTGGTAAATCACTGGCAGTTGAAGGTATTGGTACATCACTTGCAGGTGAAACTGTTGTTACACCACTGGCAGGTGAAGCTTGCCATGATTCATCTGTACATATTTGTGATTTGCTCTCTCTGATTACTCTGGCCACCATATTAAATGTGATTGTAACCTATGAAAAAGCACACACACAAAGTATTCAATTGTTTTGTCACTAACATATGAGTGTTACACTGAAATGTATTTATACTGCTATTATTGTCTAAAAAAAATTAAGTTTATGATGCAAACTGCATATATATTAACGAAATTTCTACAAAGAAAACAAAATTAAGGCTGAAAGCGTAAGGTGTTGTTTTACATTCAATTAAAATTCCAATAATTAATTAAGTGGGTTTTTTCCAATTAAACAAAAATAAATTTAATTTCACACACAGTTGGAATCAGTGCGTGAACGTTTGAATGTAATAAGATGGGAATTAGATGCAAGGGAACAGCGCTATAGAACGACACGGTCTGCCAGTGAAGTGGTCAGATTTTATGGATTCCAATCATCAAATTATGAGAATTGTTAAAATTTACTACATTTTCGCTAGGTATTTCAGTTTTAACGGAAAATTGACACATATCTGTCTTATGCTTATTTACTTTTATTTGTTTCAAATGTTATTATTTGTAGCCTAACAATAACCTGCATCGATGTAAAAGCTTCATTTAAATACGATATTGATTCAACATGTGCCTGAAATATTTGGACAGCTTCACTAGTTGATACCACATTAATAATTTTTCAATGAGCTACTATCAACTTTATCGATATCTGTAACATTAAAGATGGTTTGTAATCCTTTGACAACTGCTGTACCGTAATTTGAAACGTACAGGATTTCTCCCCATTGATACGTGTAGTTTTTGAACAGCGTCGATTACTCCTCTTGTTAAAATCTTTAGGAGGTGAGGACAAGTGGGAGACCACCGGGCATGCTCAATCCACACATTCTCCCCCTGCTGCCAGTGTCGAAGTCGAATGCCGCACTTGAAACAAATAGTAACATCTGCGATCCCTTAAAAAAAATATAATTAATGGTGATATTTTTACAATTTTTAATTTTTAAAGCTCAATTTTTTTTATGTATGACTTAATGTTATGTCCAGAGGGTAAGTTTAGTGGGGGGGGGGAATATATTTTATACGAACGTAGTTGTTAATTTTTTTGTCCAACCTTTCTGTTCAGATATCTTTCATCATATTTTTATCTCCATACTCATTCAAATTGGTAATTAAACAGAACGTTTACCTGTTTAATTTTATAAATCTGTGCTTAAATTTTTAAAAATCCAACAGCAGCATCAAGACATGTCTTAATGGAACATGTTAATTTTTAAAAGAATTATTTTTCCTTTTGCTTTCCTCTCGGATACTACATTACGTCTAAGTGCTATTTTTAGTTTATTTTGTTGTAACTGTTGTTTGTATGCTGAAGAAGGCTTCTTGCCGACACGTTCGTTGCTTTGTTGCGTCCTTTTTTTTTTCAGGCTTTGCTTGATTCGCTCATTTTCTTTAACCTAACCTGATTGAAACCCCCCGCCACTCCCCAAACCCCCCTTACCAAAAAAAAAACAGATTTTTAAAATCATTAAGTATGTTGAGATCGGTGAAAAGTTAGCTGGCTCAAATAATTTTTTTTTTAAAGACACATTCGGTTAAGAAGCTATTAAAATAGTTTCTGCTTAAAAATCTCCACACACAATTTTTTTTTTTTTTTAAAAATCAATTTCAAAAAAGGTTTCTTTAAACTTCGTAATTTCTAACGAACCTGAGTAAAAGAACCCGGCCTTGGCGAGGTTCAAGGGAGTCTGATGACCCTGCTGAAAGCTCGTGTCTATAAAAGATTCCATTCTTGATGGGAATGATGGTAACACCCTATGACTGTTCTGCTGGAGATCCATTGGTGGGTTTTCATCTTGACCCTCACCTTGATTCGTGAAAGACCGAGGCGTCGAGCCTCTCGACGGGGCGCGTTCAGCCTGAGAGACACTAGCTGCTTGTGAACCTGAACGTCTCGCCCCGGTGGCTGGATCTAGGGCAACGTCTTCGGACCTGTCCTGCGACGCGCGACGTCCTTGGATCAGTACACCGCCGTTGCCACCACTGACATTATCCCTGTAGGTTGCTTCTGAGTGGACGGAAAACGGAACGTTGTCGCAACGAAGCCCCGTTGCCATCGGGCAATTCGGAGACAGCGTTCTATGAACGACCGTCACATCATCTTCGGCTTTCCAGTCTCTCTTTTTAAATCTGCAAAAGCTGCACAGGACGGTATCTTCGATACCTCTCCCACAGTACACAAAGCCATTTAAAGCTAAGACAGCAGGGTGTTGACCAGCGTATTGTGGATAGTTTCTGAAGGATTGTAACCGCGTCTTTTCCTCGTTCCACTTTTTTTAATTTTTTTTTTTTTTTGTTTGCATTCAATAAATCGTGACATAGGATTTAATCAATTGAAATTTAATCAACGGAAATCTGTTTCTTATCCAAGTTTTTTTTTTTGCTGTAATAATAAATTGAAACAATTAAATTCAATTACAAGGTGCAGTCTATGCAGCCTGATACGCCCAAAAGAACACACTGAATGGCTGCTAGTGAAAAAATTATTACAAATGTCTTGTGTTCAAATTGTTTTATATATGAGTTGAAAATGTATAATGCAGGCATAAAAAAATTCCATTTGTTTGGATTCATAAAAGAATCTTATCTTATCTTATATCTTTTTATTCAAACTTACTTTTAAACTTGAAAAAAAAAAAAATTTTCCTCAAGTAAAATAATATTAATTATTTTCTTTAATCCATAAACTCATATAAAGAAAATACATTATTACACAGTTAAGTTATTTTATTTAAATTATAAATAATCTATTGTTTTCGAAGTTCAATTACAAATAAATAAATATATATATATATATATATATTATATTATATATATATATATAATATTAAAAATCTCTAACACTCATACGTTAATTGCAAATCCTAGAATACTAGTCCATGTAACGAAACATAATGTTATGTGGTGCGATTGAGAACTCATTAAGATCCACGTCAGCCTCAATAAATGAAAATACAATATGCGATTGACACACACAAACACACAGAGACATAACATACACACACATTCACAATCTATTACACTCACACACTCTGGCACGCACTAATGCATTTATAATTTACCTACAAAACCCACCTCATACCTATTAAAATGGTGAATGATTCAAAATTGTCTGTTGTGATTGAATATGCACATACTGAGGAGATTTGCGCATGAAAAGACACCCCCTCCCCCCTCCCCCCCACACACACATTCCTTCAATAATAACTATTTACCAATATCACTATAACTTATCCCAATGCATGGCAGTCTACTCTTGAATGGTGACTTCTATACTAACATAAAGTGGTTTTTGTTGAAAACATGGCACAGAGGTAGGACTCACCAATTGTTGAGGGGAGGGACGGGACACTGATGAAATTTATAACGTACTCTGTGCCCAACTTGTTGCATCTTCATCATCACAATCCCGTGTGGCGTTCTAGACCCATCTAGGGCACTGGCCTACTCAAGGGCACAGTTCTTCAGTTCAGACTTAACTACCGCTTTTTGTCTGCACGAGCGGAACCCCAGCCATGAATGATGTAGCTCCATTTTTTTTTTTACATTATCAATCCAACTTAGTCTTGGTAGACCACTGAGCCATTTCCCTCCGTATTTGTGTCTGATCGCCATTTCTGCTGACGTGAATTTTATCTAAATCACTGTGGGGAAATCAAGGTGTGTTGTGTTTCCCCATTTCTTTTTTTAAAATAACAAATAAGATCGGGGAAATTACAAATGAGACCAATGTTATTTTGAGGCCAGGCCGACCTACAAATACGCATGACTTAAACGTTCTGGAATCTTCTGTGTCGGAACTACTTTTCCAATCTCTGGTTAATAACTGTTTGCTTGGTAGTGGCTTTCTTTTCATTTATTAAATAGGTTTTTTGTGAAGGTCCTTCGTTTCCCTTCTTTTTTTTTTTTAACAATAAAAGGGAGGGTAAGAGAGAGAGAGAGAGAGAGAGAGAGAGAGAAGGAGAGAGAGATGGGGAGAGAGAGAAAGAGAGAGGGGGGAGAGAGAGGGGGAGAGAGAGAGAAGGGGGGATTTATCTTAAAGCCATATAGCAAGAATAAGCACACACACACACATACACACACAAAAAAAAACTAGTTTAACGGTACCCCCACATAAGATCCGAAAGCTGCTTGACGTCACTATAATAATAATAATAATAGGTCTTATATAGCGCGGTACCCCAGCCTAGGGCTGGGCTCACCTTGCTGTACATAAAAATGTTTATCAAAAGAAACACAATCATGACATTAAAATAAAATACATATATATATACATATATATGTATCACTGACCTCATGTTCGGAAAGCTCCTATAGCTCAATGGATCTTACTAAAGATAACCAAATTGATAAATAAGTTATTGGAGAACAAAAACCTGATGTAACCGATCAAAAGGTATGTCTTTGACTATACGAACGTGTCGAGTCATCTCTAAAGCGCACACACCCATACACAGACACATCACAATTGAAAAACCTCTTCCAACTGACCTTCAACTTCACGAATGGGACGTTGACGTATACAGATGAGTACCTCAGGTGGGGCTAACGTGATCAGCACACATTTGGGTTTTATTTATGACACTTTGTATATATTTTATATAATATAAGGCACTATATATATATATATATATATATATATATATATATATATATATATATGTATAATATGTATCAATCTATCTATATCCATCTATCTATCTATCTAGATATATATATATATATATATA